AATCATAAATTGAAAAATTTCTGTTATTTGTATGAGAAGGAAAAAGTGACAACCCCGCATATATAAGTATTCAAATATGCTATATATAGAATAAAATCGACAACAATTTATTTGTCGATTTTTAAGTCAAGAAATGTATCCCGGTCAAATAGTACTCCGCTTAAATAAAAATCATCCCTCTTAACCACCTTGACTCTTTAACAAAACGCGAGCTTCGCCATTGGTTGCCCGTTTCAACGGAAATTTCGCATGAAACAATATGCATATGTACATATTTAAATTTTTTTTTTGTTTCGAAGGGGAATCTTTCATAGATATCGTCAGTCCCATTCGGCTTGCACGATTCATACTGCTCCTCTTTTGGGACCACGCCCAGTATGGATGATCATACCGTGCTGAATTTGCGTAACAGTACATCTACATACTAAACCCTAACTCCGACTGCAGGTCGCCAATCCTACGGGACTGCCGTTAAGCATTTCTTCGCAGGACCAGACTCAGCAAAAATTGGCACTTCAAGGACACCTTTCTGCTCTCGCTACTTCGTTGCCTTGCTTTGTTTCTCAGTTTCTGTAGGGCAATTGTGGACCAGTTCTTCATTTTATTCCACAAGATTTCGCTTTTTATCATGTGGTGCACGATATTGTCTGGAGTCATACGCTCGTTGATAATAATCTCCAGATCGTTTCTTTCTGCTTCAAATTTCGGACAGTAAAAGAAAATATGCTGCGCGTTTTCGCTGTCGTTTCCGCAGAATAAACATATCGTGACCGTATTTATGGAGGTACTCTCGGAAGCATGCGTGTCCTGTCAGGAATTGCTTCAGGTAGTAATCACAATCGCCGTTCTCCCTCTCCAACCATGTTTTCACCTTTCTGATAAGCTTATATGTCCACCTGCCCTTTTCTGCCATGCCCCAGCGCCTCTGCCACTCACAAATACTTTCCTCCCTTGCTTTATTTCGTTCTGGCGTTGTAAGACGCCTCCCAACGCTTCTTGATTTTTCGTAAACTCTTTTGATCTCTAATGGCATTATGTCCGCCGGTATGATGCCCGCTATGACTTCAGCCGCCTCGTGCGACTCCGTGCGGAATCCACAAATAGCTCTTAGTGCATTAAGCCGAGTCAGAGATTTTGCTTTTTCCACCTAAGTCTTATTAGGCATTGCTGGTCCCCATATGGGCGCCGCGTGCATTAGCATAGACTGACTCACTTTAGCCAAGAGTGCTCGCTTGCCCTGGCTTGGTCCTCCAATATTAGCCATCATCCTGGATAGCGCCACCGTTTTCCCCGACGCTTTTTCATATGATTTTTCAATGTATGTGTAATAATTAAGCCTCGTGTCTATTACAACGCCTAGGTATTTTAACGACTGCTGAGTCGTTATGCTATGGCCATCAATATTAATTATCTACTTTTTTCTGCTGGTAATTAGCACTGCTTTCGTTTTTTGAGCTGCTAGTTGGAGCTTTGACGCAAGTGAGGAAAGTTCTATGATCGCCATTCACTTGGGAGTGGCCAGAAACGATTCTTTTACATATGTATCCTCTGGGTAGCCTAAGAACATCCCTTTGAAGGCGACCTAAAGTGAGAAGGCGAAACATTCGCTATATAGGGTTGTGCGCTCGATTTGGGACCCGCCACGTAAAAAAACCACCCCAATGAAAACGCAACAACAGCCTCGGATGAGAGCATCCCTGCAAAACTTATACGGCTGTGTAAGCTGACATTGACCAGCACCAAAAGCTCCGTCAGAATCGGGAAGGACCTCTTCGAGCCGTTCGATACCAAACAAGGTTTCAGACAAGGCGATTCCTTATCGTGCGACTTTTTCAACCTGCTTCTGGAGAAAATAGCTCGAGCTGCAGAACTAAAGAGAGAAGGTACCATCTTCTATAAGAGTGTACAGCTGCTGGCGTATGCCGATGATATTGATATCATTGGAATCAACACCCGCGCCGTTAGTTCTGCTTTCTCCAGACTGGACAAGGAAGCAACACAAATGGGTCTGGCAGTGAACGAGGGCAAGACGAAATATCTCCTGTCATCAAACAAACAGTCGTCACACCAGCGACTTGGCACTCACGTCACTGTTGACAGTCATAACTTTGAAGTTGTAGATAATTTCGTCTATTTCGGAACAAGCGTAGATACCACCAACAATGTCAGCCTGGAAATCCAACGCAGGATGACTCTTGCCAACAGGTGTTACTTCGGACTGAGTAGGCAATTGAGAAGCAAAGTCCTCTCTCGACAAAAAAAACCAAACTCTATAAGTCACACATAATTCCCGTCCTGCTATATGGTGCAGAGGCTTGGACGATGTCAACAACGGGCGAATATCGCATTCGACGGAGCGATGAGCTGTACAAGATATACAACGACGTTGACATAGTTCAGCGAATTAAAAGACAGCGGCTACGCTGGCTAGGTCATATTGTCCGGATGGACGAAAACACTCCAGCTCTGAAAGTATTCGACGCAGTACCCGCCGGGGGAAGCAGAGGTAGAGGAAGACCTCCACTCCATTGGAAGGACCAAGTGGAGAAGGACCTGGCTTCACTTAAAATATCTAATTGGCGCCACGTAGCGAAAAGAAGAAACGACAGGCGCACGGTTGTTAACTCGGCTATAATCGCGTAAGCGGTGACTACGCCAATCAAGAAGAAGTGGAAGGTGGAGCTTTTTTGCCGTGAACCAACTCTTTATTTTTAAAGCGGTGTCTATACATAAGCTTTCTACTTAACAGTTTCTTTCCCTACCACGATTACCGCAATGTCATCTTTCCGATCGATCGTAGCCGATAATCTGGACCCCTTCTTCTAATGGGAGTCGAAGCACTGCGTCATATAACACGTTCCAAAGCAGCGGACCCAGAACTGAGCCTTGTGGTACCCCTCCCGTCACCCTGTACTTTTTTATTCCCTCATCGGTATCATAGAGAAACATCCTATTCCACAGGTATTTGCAGATAGTTCTCAACTAATACCTCGGTGCTCTTCTGCATTCAAGAGCGTTCATTATATAAGGGCAATATGCAGAATTGAACGCGTGTTTAACGTCAAACGTTACGACTGCTCAGTATTCTTTCGTACCATGCATCCACCTCGCTCCCTCGATGACCTTGCTTGCTACATTTGTCACTTTTGTGATCGCATCGATGATATTTACATATGTACAAAAATGTTTGTGGACAAATATACAAACATTATGCGTATGGTTCGTTTTGTTTACATACATACATAATTACATACGTGAATATGTGCGAACATGTTATCAACATTTTTAAAGGCCTGCAAATAAATATGTAAATATATACATACATATCATATCCAACCTACATCAATTAAATATTCAGGAAAAAACGTAAACCTGACTTTATTACATATGTATTTTAAAAGGTTTTAAGTTATTAAATTATCATGAAATGGTTCAATTTGTACGTACATGCTTGTGTGCATTGACATAAAATATATATGTAGAAAATACATACATATATAAATTAAATGCATAGTCGTTTGCGCATTGCAAATATGCGAATCTGTAAGCGTATATTCCTTAACATCGGCAAATGCTGATTCTGCTATTTTCGTGCCCCCTGTTATTAAATGTGGTGAAACACGCTGAAAATTTTTCTGTGGTGTGGTCAAACACGCTCATACAAAACAGTAAATATCCCAAAAGTGAAGTATCCCTAATCGTGAACCGTCTCTATTATTTTACGTTCTCTGGTTTCAAGACCGGAGCATACTCTTGTAGAACACCCAAAGGTGATCTAGTCAGCGATGCCTAGAGAATACTTCAATTATGGAGGGTACACTTCTCCAGCTTGCTGAATGGCAGTGAATGTACAACGCCAGGAGGACGTGAACCCGATTCCCCAATCGATAACGATGGAGCAGACGTTCCATTGCCCGACCATGAAGAAGTTCGAATAGCAATTACCCACCAAAAGAAAAACAAAGCGGCGGGAGCCGATGGATTGCCGGCCGAGCTATTCAAACACGGCGGCGAAGAACTGGTAAGGAGTATACATCAGCTTCTTTGGCAAATATGGTAGAAAGCATGCCCAAAGATTGGAGTTTAAATGTGCTCTGCGCAATCCACAAAAACGGAGACCCCATCTGCGCCAAGTACCGTGGGAAAAGCCTCTTGAACATCGCGTATAAAGTTCTATCGAGAGTAATGTGTGAAAAATTAAAGCCCAATGTCAACAAACTGATGGGACCTTATCACTGTGGCTTTAGACCTGGCAAATCAACAACCGACTAGATATTTACCATGCGCCAAATCTTGAAAAAGACCCGTGAAAGGAGAATCGACACGCAACACCTCTTCGTCGATTTCAAAGCTGCTTTCGACAGCACGAAAAGGAGCTACCTTTATGCCGCGATGTCTGCGTTGAACAACACCAAAAGCTCCGTCAGAGTTGGGAAGGACTTCTCCGAGCCGTTCACTATCTTCCGACTAGATGCCATCATTTCGCTGATACCTGCAATTATTTTCACGCCTTTACTTTTGTGAATTTCAAGGCTCCAACTTCTGCCACACCTGAACTTCTATAATTGTCTAGTATATCCTAAACATTGTAAACAAAAGAAGGCGTCGGACTCTATAAAATATATATATTACATATGTATATAAATGATCAGCAATATTAGCTAAATCTAGTTAGCCAAATTGGTCCGTCTGTCTGTGTATACGCGAACCTGTCGATCAGTTTTTGTGATACCGATCTATAATTTTGCACAAAATTCATTTATCTCCTAGAAGCTGATTATTGTATGAAAGGCGAATTAAGGACTACTATAGCATATATGTATGTACATAAATAGCTGTCACACAAACTTATTGATAATAGCATGTTATTTTATGGAATCCTTTTTTTGTTTGTGAAGGGAATTGGAATTTAAGTGAAACGGAAGTTAATGTTTTTTTCTTGTTTAATATTTGCTAAAATTACCCTTACTAAAACATATCAAAACTTTTTTCAGTCCGCAGCAAATTGTTGATTGCAGCGTAGCTTTTGGGAATCAGGGATGTACTGGTGGATCTTTAAGGAATACCCTTAAATATTTAGAAGCGACGGGTGGATTGATGCGCGAACAGGATTATAAATATGTGTCAAAGGTAATAATATATTCTAATGTAATGATTGTAATCTTCAATGAATGTGTAATTATTTTTAATATAAAGCGTGGTCCATTTGGTTCCTTACTTTTTTAAAGAATAAACACAGAAACTACAAATTTAATGGGGAATGTTTAATATCATTCAAAGGACATTCTTTGGCATTTAGTTTTTGAAGATTTTCTCTTACAAATGTTGGCCGGTAGGTTGATCACCGATTGAGTCCTATGTTCGATGATTCGTCCGAGCATTTCGCATGCTAACTGGCGAATGACTCATGATGTTTTGCTTTGAAGTCTGAATCGAAGCGAGGCTGTCCGCATATACTTTGCATATTGCTATAAGAAAAAGTCTAACGGACAGTGAGATATAATAAGATCTTGGTGGCAAATGGACCGGCCCAAAAATTTAAATTATCTGCTCAATTAAGTGTTATTTCAATAAATCACATAATAGGTGCGGTGTGTCGAAAGTGGCGCTGTCTTCTTGAAACCAAATGTCAGCGAGATCACAAGCTTCAATTTCAGGTATCAAATAGTCGCCATTGACCTTCTTATAAGCATAATTTTTGAAGAAATATGCACCGATGATTCCACCAGCCCATAAAGCACACTAAACCGTTGATTTTTTCTGAATAAAATGGCTGCTCTTTATGAGGTCTTTTGTCCCCAAAGGCAGCAATTCTCTTGTTTTCATACCCATTGAGCCAGAATTTTACTTCATCGCTGAACAAAATTTGGCTCAAAATTATTGACTCTTCTTCAAACTTTTCAAGAGCAAACTTTTCGAAGCAATGTCGCATGAGAAGATCGAGCGGCTTCAGTTCACGTACACATTTTTTTGTACGCATTATATTTAAGATCTCCACGTAAAATGCGTTAAGCCGTTCCATACGTTTGTCCGAATGCGAACTGCACTGAGTCAACTCACCATTCTCTTCGTGTACACTGTCAGCTACAGCTGTTATATTTTCGTCACTGCGTGCTGGACGTGGTCTATTCGATCGAATATTATCTAGTAATGAACACTGGGTATCATATATTGCGCTTAGTACGCTCAGTAGGCCGATTATGCTATTAAGTTGAGCGAAGTGCGCAAAACACGTTCATGGCGGAACGTAAAATTTCCTCATAAAATTTAACCATTTGTAAACAATCTATAATCGTAAGTTTTACCTTGATGAAATGCCGAAAAATATCGAACACAAATAACATGAGAGCTTGACACGACTCACGGGTAATCTGTAAAATAAACGCTACTAAAAAAGTATCTCGGATCAGACGTTAAATTACACGACGCTGTCATCTTCTTTAAGTTAACAGCCGCACGCCAGTCGTTTCTGCTATTCCGTATTTGGCGTCCAAGCGAAGCCAGGTTCTTCTCCATCTCGTCTTTCCAACGGAGTGGAGATCTTCCTCTTCTCCTTCTTCCGCCGGCGAGTACTGCGTCGAAAACCTTCAGAGCTGGAGTGTTTCCGTCACTCGGACGACATGACCCTGCCAGTGTAGCCGCTGTCTTTTAATTCGCTGAACTATGTCAATGTTGTCGTATTTCTCATACTGCTCATCATTCCATCGGATGTGGTGTTCTGTTCTCCGTGGCTAATTCCCGAATACAATAAATCTATCGCAGAATCTTTCTCTCAAAAACTCGTATCGTCGACTCATCAGATGTTGTTATCGTCCAGCAGTTTTACACTCTTACAGAAGATAGTGTCTTCCCTATGTAGTTCTGCAGTTCGAAATATTTTCTCCAAGAGCAGATTGTCTAAGTCGCATGAAACAGACTTGGCTTGTCTAAAGCCTCGCTTGGTATCGAACGGCTCAGAGAGGTCCTTCCCGATCCTACGGGAGTTTAGACAGCTGTATTAGTTTTGGGGGATACCACATTCAAACATCGCGGCATAAAGGTAGCTTCTTTTCGTGCTATCAGAAACAGCTTTAGAATGTTAACTCCCATATATCTAAAACAACGATTTTCGATGATCCGGATGATTTTTTACTGCATATATCGGCTAATATGTGGGTTACGCAATGAAATTGCGTTTGCTCATAACAGTGTATCTATGTTCATAAAATGGATAAAAATTGGTGAAAAATTTATCCAGCCTCCCTATAACTAAGATCAGGATTTTCGATCATTCGGCAGACCTTACTTCATTCTTGTAGGATGCTTATATAGCAAAAATATGGTAGATAAAATGGAGTCCATAATACCCAACTGCCATATACTACTTATAATGATTTTGATATCTCCTCTTAGGAATCTCATTCCATGATGTTTTTAATATAATTTTAGCTATGGCGAACTAATATATGTAGGATACTCGGGCTGAGTTCCCAATGACAGGATATAGCGTACGGCCAACCGACCAATATACAGGAAAACGTGGACGACTCGCTGAGTCCGACTTGGTGGAACGAATGATCCACCGATACGCAGAAATAAAAGACTGGACCAACTTCACTTCACAATTGGTCAATGCTTTGCTTTATTCAAGAACTGGTGCTTTTAATAAATCTGTACAATAAATTAATTTATACAACTTCACAGTAGATAGATGCTTTTTTCTAACTTTATCGGTCGCCGTCCGCTATTCAAGTGAAGTCCGTTATTGGTTTTATTCCGTTCGAGTCCCTTTTTCGTTCAGTTAGTGTTGTCGTGTGTCAAAAACGTTCAGTCCGCACGGTCGCGTTTCTTCGTCCTACAACTCGGCCAWTCCTGACTACTTATTCGCCTCGAATAACGTTACCACTTTTTCATATAGTTCACAGCGGTCGATGTTGTCTTAGGTCCCTCATTACTTCCCACCCTTTCTACTTCATATCGACCGTGTTTCAATCGTTTAGTTACTTTGTATGGTCCTAAGAATTTAGGTCGTAACTTCATTGCGTTACCAAATTGTGTCCGTCCGATTGCAACCAAATCATTAATGTTATATTCGATTGCCTTTTTACGTTTTCCATTAAATGACTTCATATTTTCTTCTTGAATTTTCTGTATGTTTTCTTTAGCTATTTCACGTAACTTATCACGTCCCTCGTTTAACTCCATAACTGCTTCATTTTCTAAAACTTCGTTTAAGGCAAGATCTTCTTTTACCCGCATTTCGCAACCCTTTCAAATCTTAAACGTGGCCTGTTTTGCACTTCGATTTGGAGAATTATTTATTGCTGAACCTTCCCTATATACTTGTACCACTGTGAGGTATTCGGATGAGATAACTTAGCTAACATTGGTATTACTACCCTATGTATTCGTTCGACTTGGCCGTTTCCTCTTGGCACCCCCGTCGTAATGAGTAGAAGCCGAATACCGTTATTATCGCAATAACTTTTAAAAGCTTGTGAAGTGAACGCTAATCCCCTATCAGATATAATTCTAAGCGGGTTGCCGAAAACGTCAGCTTGTTTCGAAAGCCTCTCTATAACCACCTCCGTGCTTGTATCTTTTGTGGGGTAGCGCCACACGAATTTTGTAAATGCGTCGATCACAACTAAAATATATTTGTACCGTTTCCCTTTCGTTGTCATCGGACCTACATGATCTATGTGAAATGTCCCCAAAGGATAATCTTCTTTCTCAATTGGCGACAATAATCGCTCCAATTTACCACACTTTGTATTCATTATTAAACATTCGACACAACTTCTTACTATATTTCTGACTTTTCCCTCGAGCCCTGGAATGCAGTAGTATTTCCCTACACAATCACAAGTCTTCTTAATTGAAAAATGCCCTTGTTTATGTGCTAGCAAAATGCCCTCATTCTCCATTTATTTAGGTACCACAATTAGTTCCTTTACCGGATCCTTGTACAATATGTCACGGAAGATAAAAAAGTCTTCGTAAGAATTGTTTTCCAGTATTTTCCGGATTGTCCGCGCCCATTCATTTTCCTGTGCCTCTTTTAATCTGTGTTGTAATGATTCGTCTGCTAACATACACGCTAACCTACTTAAAGCATCGACATGCTTCATTTTAGATCCTGATCTATGTTCTATAGTATAATTAAATTCTTGCAAGAACATTGCCCATCTAGCTACTCGTGGCGGAACGTCTTTCTTCCTTAATGTCAAAGCGAATGCGTTGCAATCCGTTACAATTTTGAATTGTAAACCTAATAAATACACTCTCCATTTCTTTAAGGCTTTGACGATGGCGAGTGCTTCAAGTTCATAAGAATGATAGTTCTCTTCCGCTGAACTTGTTTTCTGGCTTATGAATTGCACTGGATGATATGATTCATCCTCTGCCGTCTTTTGCAACATTACCGCGCCATACCCGTGCTTTGATGCATCTGTATGAACTTCCGTAATTCATTTGGGTTATATAATTCTAAAACTGGAGATCGTGATAGCGAGGACTTAAGTTGCTCGAAAGCAATCGTCTGATCTTCTTCCCACTTGAAATGTTGATATTTTCTCAGAAGATCTGATAATGGCTTAGCCACTGACGCATAGTTTTGAATAAATCTACGAAAGTAGGATGTTAACCCTAGGAACTGTTGAATGGCTTTTTTGTCTCCAGGTGGCTTGAAAACTTTAACCGCTCTGGTTTTCTCATCCGACGGACGAATTGAAAAATTTACTTTACGCTTCGAAAAATTACACTTTTTCCACTTAATTTGTACCCCAGCCTCTGCTGCTACTGTAAGAACTTTCTTTAGTTTTATTAACCCCTCTTCCTCCTCTATGGATGGAATAATTAAATCATCCATATAAGTGACTACACTTCCCTCGTCTTTTAGGACTTTAAAAATCGAATGGATAAATCTACAGAATACTGCTGGTGAATTTGAGATACCAAACGGCACAAATTTAAATTCAAATTGGCCTTTCATTGTTACAAACGATGTATATTTTCCAGAACTTTCTTCGACAGGAACATGCAAAAATCCATTAGCCAAATCTAATGTAGTAAAAACTTTATGTCCCTGGAGCTTCTCGACTACCTCGCCAATTAATGTCATTGGAAAATTATCGCGCAAAATTTTATCA